AGAGGAACCGAACATTGAATAAAGTGTTCTTAGCTTATCTAAGAGTGCCAATATTGCAGGTCATGGTTGTATAAACCCATTTCTCTCAAAACCTAAGTCACAACAGATGACCTTTAAAAGCATGGTGAAAGGTACGAGGAACATGTTGGGCAGATACGTTGATAAATGGTTTTACGATAAAGGGATCCCCTTTGATGCAGCCAATAGCCTATATTTCCTACCTATGGTCAATGCAATCCAGAGAGCCGGGCCCGGGGTAAAACCTTCGACTGCATATGAGCTAAGTGGGCCAATCTTGGATGAAGATGTGGAGGAAGTTATAAAGTTGATTAAAGAATATAAACAGAGTTGGCCAATAACAAACATTACTCTCATGAGTGATGGTTGGTTGAATAAAGTTAGCAAAAATGAGTTTTTTAACTTCTTGGCCTATTCCCTAAAAGGTCGTATCAGGGATAAAGAAGTATGCAAACTTCTTGGTACGACTATATGATCAGATAGTGGAGGAGGTGGGAGATAAGCATGTAGTCCAATTTATTACGGACAATGCGCGTGCATGTGTTTCTGCGGGCAGCAAATTGATGGATAAGATGAAGCATCTAGTATAGACCCCGTGTGCTGTACACAACATCAATCTTATGTTAGAGGAGATTCGTGATATCAAAATTGTGAAAGAGACTCTACAGGAAGCGAGGTTGGTGTCAAGATTTATATATAACCACTCTAAAATCTTATTTTTGTTCAAAGAACAGTCTAAGAAAAAGGAGATAATCAGGCATGTCATAACCCGCATTGCAACATATTACTTGGATGTAGACTTCATTCAGGAATTTGAAGGTGCATTAAAGATATTGTTTACCAGTGAAGAGTAGTTAAATGATCGCATCTTGAAGTCCAATATCGGGTTAAAAGTAGACGGCATTGTCTCAAATAAGAGGTTTTGGTCTCGATGTTCCAGTGTCGTAGAGGCCATTGTCCCTTTGGTCACGGTATTTAGAATGATGGATGCTGACAAGAAAGCTACCTTAGGCATCATTTACGAAGGTTTTGAGAGGGCCAAATCAGCTGTTGGGGAGAAGTATAGTTTTGCTAGTAAAGTGATCGAGATTATAGAAAGAAGGTGGAACACCAAATTTGGCCATCCAATTCATTATGCAGGCACATATATATTTATATCATTAGAATGTTTAATTCTAAATTATTTTTTTTATGAAATTTTAAATAAAATTTCTTTATATATGTATTTTCTAGGTCACTACTTCAACCCAAAATTTTTTTATTTAACACCTGAACATCCCCACAAGATTATAGAAGGGGTCAGAGACATTATTGTTAGGCTGGAGAGAAGCCATCGAAACCAGGTAGCAACAATACAAGAGGTAATATTTAATATTTGGGTAAGAACTTTATTAAGTTGTTATATTTGTGAGGAATAATGCATTGAAACGAAATATTTTGTTTTAGCTTACTATGTATAGGGATGCTATAGGATCCTTCGGAACTAGACTTGTCAAGAATTCTCGAACTAAGATGAATCCAGGTTAACCCCTAACTAATATTTTATTCATTCATATATTTAATATTATGAATTGTTCTTGCCCTTACACTGCTTTTTGCATTTTAATCCAACTGAATGGTGAGATATATATGGTAGTGATGCACCTCACCTAAAGAGGATAACATTCAAGGTGTTCTCCCATACATGTTCTACTACTGAGTGTGAGTGAAACTGAAGTATATTCTAATGGTTTCACACTATTAGGAGAAATCGACTCACTTCGGATAGGTTTCATAAACTAGTCTATGTTCATTACAACTTAAACCTCCGAGAGCGACAAATAAGAAGGAAGCTTGAAGATTATGGGCCGATAGACTTGAACATAATATTTATCATAGACATAGTAGAACAATGGGTAGTAGAGAAAAATGAGTCAGTGTTGCACAAGAGAGCGTTCTTGAGGCTATTGGTGAGGAAGATCTTGAATAAGGTGATGAGTAGCATGAGAGAGGAAACAACCAACCAAGATATTCACAATTCGTTAGAGATGTTGATGATATTGTACTTAATAAGGGAGAGTGAGAAGGGGGTCTAAGGGAAAATGAGAGAGATGATGATTATGAGGCCACCCAATCCCAGCCAAATTATTCACATATCGAGTTACAACAACAAGAGGGTAGGGATGGACACGACAGTGTAGGTGTGCATAAAGGATGGACAAGCTTCGGGGCTTTTGGATTAGGAGCACAACAAAACACTAACACTCAGGTGCCGCTAATTTGGATGATTCATTTTTATAATGAGTCAATGATTGTCACCGAATTCAATCAATAGCACCAGCGTGACCCAGACGAAGAACGACGTCGTTTATCATTTTA